ACGTGTCCCCTTATACCCCTAACCCTCAAAAAACACAATAAAGAAGAGACCAAACCCCAAACTCTACTGACTCCCGACCCAATCCCTACCCCTTTAAATGCGCAAACCACCGCTATTTTGTAATAACTAGATATATCTAGGTCAGATGTAATCTCTGACTCCTAATAGCATCAAGAGATTAATGGGAGTTGACTCCTAATAATGCCAAAGAAATGATCGAAGTGACTATTTCTCCGAACGCTCGGGAAAATAAAGTTGAACTCTATTTCTCCTAACGGTTTCTGATCTCGAGATTTTTTGGAATTTGCAAGATTTAAGCGTCATCCTTTCATTCTGCCATTCTGCGAGGACTGAGGAAGCATTTTTTGCATCGAATTTAATTTCTAGAGCTAGAGATTTTTAAATGTCTGAATATTCAGATACTTCAGTTGTGGTTGGGTCATTTGAAAAAACCTTCAAAAGGTACTGCGAGAAAACAAGACTGCTCGACCTTAAGCAGTAACCTATTTTGAATTTAATCACCCAGCAAAAACTAAAATCATTCATGTAAAAAGTAATTCCCCACACACACTGACATACACACACACACACACACACAATCACACATGCACACACACACACACACACATGGGCCACTCCATTAGTTTAATATCAACAAATCTCGAGAACAGAAACCGTATGGAGAAATAAAGTTCAAGTTTATTTTCCCAAACGTTCGGAGAAATAGAGCCGGCCAGGGAGTCGACTCCCAATAATTACTTCGTACTGTTCCTCAAGTTACTGTTAGTCATCCCATCTTTAGACCAGCATGCACAAAGCTGACAAGATTAAACAAAGCCAAGAGACATTTGTTTTTATTTTGTCTTAACTGTGGTCAGACGAAAGCGTCGAAAGTGAACAAGCTATAGAAACTACTCTAATACCGATACGCTGCTAAAAAATGTATAATTTACTAACTAGAGTAGCTGGCCCAACCCGTGACCACTTGTCATATTTTGCTTCTCAGCGGTCTCTGTCGGCAAAATAGGTCAGGCAATCCATGTTCAGGGCCGCTTCAGTGTGTCACTTACTTACTTACTTACTACCCATTACACCATCTGGCATTTAGGGCAGCAACAAAGGATCTCCAGCTCTGTCTGTTTTGGGCCATCTTGGTCAGCATTCTCCACGAATGATTCCAGGACTTCATTTCAGACTCTACTGTGCGTCTCCAGGTTACTTTGGGTCTGCCCCTTTTGCGACGTCCTTCGGGTGTCCAGAGGAGGGCAATCTTCACAATAGAGTCTCGTTCTCTTTTCAGAATATGTCCAATCCATCTCCATCTTCTCATTTTTATTATGGTTGTCATGTCCTCTTGCCTACATTTACGTAACAGATCTGCGTTGGATATCTTGTCGGGCCAGAAGATTCTGAGGATTTGGCTCAAGCTGGTTGTATGAAAGGAAGATAGCTTGGCACTGTCATGATCAGTCATCCTCCAGCATTCAGCTCTATATAGGAATGTGGATAGTACACAGCTGTTATACAGCTTTAACTTGGTTTGTATACTAAACTGTCCTGACTTCCAGATGTTGATCATGCTTCTGTGTACAGATCTTGCCTTGCCGAGTCTGTCCATGATGTCTTCCTTTGCGCCGCCGTCTGTTTTGATTATGCTGCCTAGGTAGGTAAGTCTGTCTGTTATAGGCAGGTCTGTGTTGTTCACTCTAATCAGCGTTGGGGAGCCTACATTCAGTGTCATCACTTCTGTCTTCTTCTGGCTTATTCTTAACCCAATCAGGGGTCCGTATTTGTGGAGTCGGTTTGTTTTTTCCTGCATGTGCTGGTTGGTATGGGAGAGTAGTGCAAGGTCGTCGGCAAAGTCAAGATCCTCGAGGGAGGAGAAGAGGGTCCACCTTATGCCTCTTGATGTATCCTCTGTTGTTTTCCTCATGACTCAGTCAATGGCTAGGTTGAACAGAATTGCTGATCTGTTGCATCCTTGTCTAACTCCTGTCTTTACCTCAAAAGCAGTGGTACTATTTCTAACAACGCACTTGAAGTTTTGGTAGAAGCTCTTGATGACCTCCACTTTCTTGCAAAGGATTCCATAAGATCGTAGAATGTACCAAAGACTTTCACTTTCTCTGTGTGTCAACTTCCGGTTTATACCGTGATATTGTCACTCATTCCAAAATGTCATTTGCAGATTTCGTATTTTAACATTTTAATGTTCTGCCCATGACGCAACTGCATGCCGTCAGGCGACCGCATATGGAACGGGGCGTGACCATGTGCACACTGACATTATTAGAACAGGTGCAAGGAAGTTGTCAGTACCTTGGAGTAACTATATAGGGAGAGGCCCTAACGTTGCGTCGCCCGCTCAACAGTTCCAACCAAGTTGAAGCCGAAAGGGCGGAGCTTATCGGGCCTGCCGCCATCTTTGTAAGTTCAAAACAATGCAGCGTACGCAGCGTAATCTCCTTTCAAAACAAGCTGCTCGGACTCCATTTTCTCTCAAAATTTCTTTGTCAATGTTAATTACAGCATTATAAGCACTCACGTACAGTTGTAATGTAATAAGGATGTTAACAAATCTTACTTGCATCAAATTTCGAGCTCATTTAGTCGAATATTTACAGTAACACGTGTACTATGTATACACATTGTGATGGTAAGATATTCTGTTTTACATGTTTTAGAGACGAAATTGGGATAATAAGGATCAAAACAAAATTATAAACGGGATGATAACATTTGCTGAGTTTTTGGTAGTCGAACTTCATTATTTTTACAAAAAACGAAGACTTCTTGATAGTAACAATATAATAAGGACAGCAAGAAATCTTACTTGCATCAAATTACCAGCTCACTCAGTCGAGCATTTGGTAATACATGTACTATGTATACACATTGTGACGGTAAGATAATTTTTTAAAACTTGTTTTAGAGAAGAAATTGGGATAATAAGGATCGAAACAAAAATATAAACGGGATAACAAAATTTGCAGACTTTTCGGTCATAGAACTTCATCAGTGCAAAATGATATCATCACTGACATTATTTTTACAAAAACGTAGTCTTCTTGACTTAAACTTACAACAGAATATATTTCTAACAAAATTGAAAATGATTACACAAAAGATGGTAGTGAGAGTGGGATGGGATGGGCGAAGAATGAGGAAGGAGAGGGCAAGGCAGATAAGAGTGAAGTATGAAGGTGGAAATTACCCCCCCCCCCCCCCACACACACACACAAAAAAAAACAACAAAAACAAAAACAAGACCCCCCCCCCCCCAAATAAAGCGAGGAGGGAGGGGCACCTTTAAAACACCAAGACACTTTATCTAAATTTTACAAAATACTGTTAAGGGTATTGAAAAATTAATAGAGAATTTGAAATGATAGGCTTATAATAAGAAGATTTTCAAAACAGATTGCACTAATTTATGACATTTCACTCTTGACAATGTCACACCCCATGCACAGACAGACGACACATGGCATCAAAAATGTTATTCACACACCAAACACACTTCAATGACATTCTTTGAAGGCACTGTCGAACCTCCGACGAGACTTAAAAAAACAGCAAGGAATTTACTTTTGACACATTGGAGTCAACAAAGGCACCGATGCAGGTTTCACATTTTCAAATGCTTTGTCAACCTTAACAACACAAAACCAGCAATGTAAGCAACATGCAGAGCAAATTGACAAGTATGCTAGAGTAGATCTAGGCACATACGTGCAGTTATCATCATGGCAAACTGAATTTTCTTTAATCTTTTTTTCATTCTGTTTTTACTGTGAGATGCATTTACGGCTAAATCAGAAGGCACTTCGTCATCAAGTTCAGTGCCATTGCTAGAGACTGATATTTTTAAAAACATTTGGTAGGAAATTTTGAATTTTGCCTGGGTGGCGACCGAAGCCTACTCTTATCGATTTTAGACCACCAAGGGACCTTTAATTTACGCAATTTGCATACGCGACCTCCGAGATTTTTTCGCCCTTGTCCGAGAAGGCTAGGGGTAGATCTTTCCTACCAGAAGATCAGGGGTGTGGCTGAAAGACAGAGGTAAGAAGGAGCCAAGGAGTAGCAGTAGAAAGGCTGCAGAAAGAGTCCGGAGCCCTGAGGAGGTAGGGGCAGAAAGTGGAGGTGAAAGCAGACGAAAGAGAAAGTAGAAGTTTAGAGAACAAAATTTTTCCGTCACTACTCGGATTCGAACCCAGGACCTTTGAATGAGAGGCCCACCGGACCCGAACGCTACGCAAACTGCCATTCGGTTGACACTAAGTTTACAACTGAGAGAACTGAGCTGATCTCACAAACATGGCCGACCGTCGCCTGCAGCGGCTTCACGTTACTCGACTCGCGGCCTCTCCTATTATAGTTCCTCCAAGGTCAGTACACTATTTAAAGGTTAGTATTATCATTTGTTTAGCAAATTATAATGAAAACAATTAACTTATTAAAAACAGAGGGTATAGATATCTAGAGACAAGTGGTGGCGGGTTGCGCCAGCCACTCTAGTGTTTAGTAGTTTAGTAACTGAAGAAAACTTCTCAAAGAATGTTTCAGATAAGCTTTTACTTCAAACTCGACTGCTGCCCTAGCAGACGATAGACGTTCTCTGAAAAGGATTGACCAAAAGTGGAACTAGAATCTAGACAAGGAAAGTGACTCAATTAACACAGATCGCACACGAGCTGCACAAAAGGTAAAATGGGGAACTGGTCGCGCTAAGCCGGCTAAGGGCATGGTCGTGAGGGCCGCCGTCTCTAAAATCTAGTGGTATTAGTATAAACAATGGTAAGATTGAAGAATCTAGTCTAGATCTAGAAATAGAATCTAGATGTAATCTAGATCTATATCTAGATCTAGATTGTAGATCCAGATTGTAGATTAGATCTTGTAGAATTAGATGCCACGGGCCACGGACACACAGTGACAGTGAACAGAATTTACACGCTGATGTTGAAAGTTCTGAAGAGAGTGATTTATTGCCATACCACTGCTCTTGCTTGTTGCTGTCCACAGCCTTATCCACCCAAGTTGGAACGGCCCTCATGGCTAAATTCCAGCTGAACTTGTGGCTGATGTTTGATCTCTCTAGTTTCTCTCACTCGAGTAAGTAAGTCATTCGTAGCAACCGAATCGGCGTCCCAGGAAGTGGATTGATGAGAGGAATGTGCCAGGGGAGACAACAATCCTCTTTCCGTTTGAATACAAAAGTTAAACTTCAACCCGTTACTAATGACGTCATCATACATTATTTTGTTACCGAGTACATGGAAGCGTTTACAAAATACTGCCCACAACGTGTGTGTGTGTGTGTGTGTGTGTGTGTGTGTGTGTGTGTGTGT